TTGTATATTTTTTATTAAATACATTTTCTCTTTACTTGTACATAAAACCAAGGGGTAGGGTGATGTCTGGCCAATCTATACATAGAATTTCAAAAGGGAGGGGGAAAGGGTAAGGGGAGGGGGAAGGGGGAAGTGTGAAGGGGGTGTAAGTGAGGGGGGGGGTTCTGTCGGCTTCCAATCTTCTCCGATTATCCTCTACTCTTCTGTTTCCTTATATCTGTAGAAAATCTTCCACTCCACTTCTATTGTAATCTTAATGTTTCTTCTAATTCCTGTCTCTTCTATATTGCATTCCTGTGTCCTACTATTCCTTTTCTTTTTGTTATTTTTTCAGTTTGTTTTCTTCGGTGAGAAAATCATCCACCAATTTCCAATTTGTCTTTATAATTGGCCTACCATAAGATTCTTTTAGGGCAGACGTTAATTTATCCACGCCCTTAATTTCTTGGATTTTATTTAGCCATTCTTCTTTCATTGCAAATTCACTTTGCTTCCATTTTTTTGCTACTACCATTCTCGCTGCACTAGAAAGGTATGTAAATAGAATATCATTATTTCGGTCCCGTTCCAAAGCGACTTTGTCCACAAAGTACTGAGCAAAAGCTTCACAGCGGGCTGCCGAGTCGTCAGGGGACCCATCCTGGAAGGTGGGCTTCAACAACCCTCTGACTGCTCGAAACAACTCCGCCGGATGGTTCCTTGCGGACGCAATATTAGCCAAATAGAAAGAATTTTGTGCAGCCTCTATTGCCGCGCCGTACGCCCTTGAATAAAGGCATAGGCGTGTTCGGTTTGACTCGCAAAGCTTTTTCCGCCACACGCTCTCTAGCCACCTCTTTGTTCGCTTCATCGCTGCCAACTCCTCGTTGAACCAAGGAGAAGGTTCAGCTCGGTTACTTAAGAGGGGGCACTCCGGAGCGATCGTGTCTATTGCCCTAGTCAACTCATTATTCCAATGGGAGACCAGAGCATCGACAGAATGGCTCTTGTAGGTGTCTTCCACCTCTAGGATTCTATGACACACCTATATCTCATTCTCATGTATATATATATGCACACACACACAATACATATATGCATACATACATAAACACATACGCACTGTAGCCTTCAATACTGTTGACCACTGTATCCTTCTGGATCGCCTTGTGGGAATGGGCCTTGGGGGCACTGTTCTGCAGTGGCTCCAGTCTTCCTAGAGGGCCGTTCCCAGAAGGTGTTGTTGGGGGACACCTGCTCAGCCCTGCACCCATTGTCCTGTGGGGGTCGCACAGGGATCAATACTGTCCCCCATGTTGTTTTAACATCTACATGAAGCTGTTGGGTGAGATCATCTGGAGTTTTGGACTTTGATGTCATCTGTATGCAGATAATGTTAATCACTCCTGTCCATGTGCTGCTAAGGAGGCTGTTCAGGTCTTGAACCAGTGCTTGGCAGCTGTAATGGTCTGGATGAGGGCGAATCCTGACAAGACAGAGGCCAAACAGTGCATAAGGTTACAGCGTGTGTTGGATGGGGTTACACTCCCCCTGGAGACTTAGGTTAACATCTTGGGAGTGATCCTGGACTCATTGCTGAGCCTGGAACCCCAGGTCTCGACGGTGGCAAGGGGAGCATTCACACAAGTAAAACTTGTGCGCCAGTTGCGGCCGTAATAATAAATAATAATAATAAACTTTATTTGTACCCTGCTACCATCTCCCCAATGGACTTGGTGCGGCTTACATGAGGCCAAGCCCAAACTACATCAAACAAAACATCAATAAACACAACTTCAATAAACAATCAATAAAATACAAATCATATAAATCACATAAACAAAAAACAATCAATAGTGACATAAACAATTTTAAAAATGGCCGGGCCAAATGTAATAGATTAAAATTGAAAATATGCTGATGTGAACAAGGTAAAATATAACTGGGAAGTCAGACTTTCCCACATTAGTTCATGCTCCGGTTATATCCTGTATAGACTACTGCAACACACTCTAAATGGGGTTGCCTTTGAAGACTGTTCGGAAGCTGCAAATGGTCCAAGGGGTGGCAGCCAGATTGCTCATCGGAGCAGCGTTCAAGGAGCATACATCTCCCTTGTTACACCAGCTCCACTGGCTGCCAATTTGCTACTAAGCACAATTCAAGTGCTGACTTTAACCTATAAAGCCCTAAACGGTTCCGGCCCAGCTTACCTGTCTGAACGTATCTCTCCCTATGAACCATCTCGGAGTTTTAGATCATCTGGGGAGGCCGTGCTCTCAGTCCCACCTTCTTCGCAGGTGCAACTGGCGAGGACAAGAGACAGGGCCTTCCTTCTCCGTGGTGGCCCCTTGGCTGTGGAATTCCCTCCCTAGGGAAATTAGATCAGCCCCTTCCCTCCTGACCTTCTGCAGAAAAGTGAAAACATGGCTTCTTAAGCAAGCCTTTGGGAATCTTGTGCAATAGATAAACAGAACTATGTGAAATCTAATACTGGAACGGCTTAGATGATGTTTTTGGACGACGAGGCTAATAGTGAAGGTAGTGGTTTTATATGTTTTTAAAGGTTTCAATGTATGTATTTTACAATTCTGTTTTAAATGTTTATTATGTTTATTGTAATTTTTGCATTTTTTTAATGGCATTGAATAGCTGCCTATGTTGTAAAGCCGTCTTGAGTCACCTTCAGGTTCAAGAAAGGCAGGGTAGAAATATAAATAAATGGATGGATGGATGGATGGCCATCTGTCGGGGGGGTTCTGACAGTTCCCTTCCTGCCTGGCGCGAATAGGGTTGAACTGGATGGCCCTTGGGGTCCCTTCACCTCTAGGAATATATCCTATTCCTATTCTATCCCTGTCTCAGTCATCGCTATCTGTGTCTGGATGGCCATCTGGGATTGGGTGGTGCCTTTTCCTGGGTGTTACACCCTCTTCCAAGGGATTGGGCCTGCAGCCAAGTCGGGATCGCTTGGCAACGGCCTGCCTCGTGTCTTGGATGCGGCCTGGGCATCAAAAGCTTAAGCTGGTTACTTAACGGCCACCTCGCGGCGACAGCCTTTCCCTGCCGTGTGCGGCAACCTAGTTTATCCCCTATGGGAAGTCATATCTCCTTATATGGACTCAGGGTGCCTTACAATAACGTTGTTATTATTATTATTATTATTATTGTTATTATTATTATTATTATCTACCCATAGGGACTAACAATAATAATAAAAATTATTATTATTATTATTATTATTATCTTTGTCAACGGCAAAAGGCCAGCTTACTTGGATCTGCATTCGAAAATACATCACACAGTCCTAGATGCTTGGGAAGTGTTAGACTTTGCTGTGATTTTGTGATACGAAATCCAGCATAGATATCCCATTTGCTGTGACATACTGTGTTTTTGTGACAGTAAAATAATAATATCCCCATGGGAACTTAATGCAGCTATTGCTATTGTTATATCCTACCCATGTGGAATAATAATAATAATGATAATAATAATATCCCCCATGGGAACTCAATGCAGCTATTATTATTATTATTATTATTATTATTATTATTATTATTATTATTATTATTTTCTACCCATGAGGACTAATCATCATCATCATCTCCTCATGGGAACTCAAGGCGGCTATTATTATTATTATTATTATTATTATTATTATTATTATCTGTATTTCTATCCCACCTTGCTCCCCATAGGGACTGAAGGTGGCTTACAATAATTATAACTATTATTATTATTATTATATTCTATTATTAGAATATAATTTCAGCTGGTCCAGCGGGCGGCGGCCAGGTTGTTGACTGGTGCTCCTTACAGAGAGAGGTCAACCCTCCTGTTTAAGGAGGGTTTGGCTGCCGTTCATTTTCCAGTCCCAATTCAAGGTGCAGGTGCTTACCTACAAAGCCCGAAACGGTTTGGGACCTGCCTACCTGCGTGACCGCATCTCCGTATATGAACCCACACATTCCCTCCGTTCATCTGGAGAGGCCCTGCTCGCGATCCCACCTGCGTCACAAGCGCGCTTGGTGGGGACGAGAGACAGGGCCTTCTCTGTGGTGGCCCCCCGACTCTGGAACACCCTCCCCAAGGACATCAGACAAGCCCCAACGTTGGCAGTCTTTAGGAAGAGCTTGAAGACTGGCTGTTCCAGTGTGCCTTTCCAGAATAGGAAACTCCCAGCATCATGTCCCGGACGCACTTTATTAGAGATTTAAGACTGTCTGCACATTGCACCTATCCTAGAATCCTATATTTCACCTGTCATGTCCAGCACTTTAAACTGTACCCATTGCATTTGGCCCAGCCATAGTTTTTAAATGTGTCATGGTGTATTGTTTTATTGTTTATTGTTACTGCTTTAATTCTCTTTGGTTTGCTTATGAATTATATAATGTATTGTTATGTTGTTGTTTTATTGAGGGCCTTGACCTTTGCAAGCCGCATCGAGTCCTTTGGGGGATGTTAGCGGGGTACAAATAAAGTTAATAAATAAATAATAAATAAATAACAAATTATTATTATTATATTCTACCCAGGGGACTCAGTGCAGCTATTATTATTATTATTATTATTATTATTATTATTATTATTATTATTATTATTTTCTACCCATGGTGAGTAATAATAATAGTAGTAGTATTAATGTTCTCCCCATGGGAACTCAAGGTGGCTATTATTATTATTATTATTATTATTATTATTATTATTTTCTACCCATGAGGACTAATAATTATCATCATCATCATCTCATGGGAACTCAAGGTGGCTATTATTATTATTATTATTATTGTTATTATTAACTTTATTTCTATCCCACCTTTCTCCCCATAGGGACTGAAGGTGGCTTACAATAATTATAACTATATTATTATTATTATTATTATTATTATTATTATTATTATTATTATATTCTACCCATGGGGATTCAGTGCAGCTATTATTATTATTATTATTATTATTATTATTATAAACTGCCAAACACTTGTCATTAAAACCTTCTGTTTTTTCTTCCTTCTCATCAGGAGAAGCAATACTTCTCTTTCCCTGGAGAACTTTTGATGCGGATGCTGAAGATGCTCATTTTGCCATTGATCACTTCCAGGTAAGAAGAAGAAGAGATCAATATATATCATAAATGTATACTGTAATAATCAGCATAAATTCAGCCCTCCGCACTGTTTGTGTTGAATTCCATTATAAAGTCTGTATGTTTTTAAGGTTTAAAAATTGTGTTGCGTTACTTTCATTGTGAGCTGCTTTGAGTCTTTTTTTTTTTTTTTGAGAGGGAGAAAATGTATAATAATAATAACATATAATTATGACAATAAATTTATGGTATAATAATAATAATTGTATAATAGAAAATAAATGTATTATAATCATAAATGATGATGATGATAATAATAATAATACTGTAACCCGTGGGTGAACTACAACTCCCATCATGCCAGGCTCACCCCGAGAAACTCAATCAATACTCAAAGTTTGTTATATTGGGCAAGTTTGCTCTAGATGCCTCATCGGTGGGGTTCAATGTAATCAAATTTCAGCATATCCATCGGTGTATTGTCGAAGGCTTTCATGGCTGGAATCACTGGGTGGTTGTAGGTTTTTTGGGCTGTATGGCCATGTTCTAGAAGCATTCTAGAACATGGCCATACAGCCCGAAAAAACCTACAACAACCCATTTCCATTGGTTTTTGGGTTCACAGTACTCACTGGATCTAGGTAAACTACAACTCCCCCAAAGCAAGGTGATTTTTCCACAAAGACTTCCAGTATTAGGTTCTTGTGGGTTTTTTCGGGCTATAGGGCCATGTTCTAGAGGCATTTCTCCTGACGTTTCCTGCATCTATGGCAAGCATCCTCAGAGGTAGTGAGGATGCTTGCCATAGATGCAGGCGAAACGTCAGAGAAATGCCTCTAGAACATGGCCCTATAGCCCGAAAAAACCTACAAGAACCTAGTGATTCCAGCCATGAAAGTCTTCGACAATACACTTCCAGTATTTTTTGCTGGTATGAGGGCTCTGTGTGCCAGGTTTGGTCCAGTTCCATCTTTGGTGGAGTTCAGAGTGCTCCTTGATTACAGGTGAACCTACAACTCCAAAATGCCTAGGCCAATTCCCCTCAAAGCCCATCAGTATTCAAATTGGGGCATATTGGGTATGCAGGCCAAGTTTCGTCCAGATCCATCATTATTTGGGTTCATAGTGCGCTCTGAATGTAAGTGAACTACAACTCCTATAAATCGCTCCAAAGACCTCCAGTACTTTTTTCGTTCCATTGCTGATAAATTCCTCTGTTTGCTGTGCCCTGCAGAAAAGAGTAGGAAAGGGTTAAGGGAGAGGGTCATGCAAATTCCACACCAGTGGAGAGAGTCAGAAACACTGGGATGTCTGTGGTGAAGGAAACACATAAAATCTAGGATGGAATTGTCCCCAAATGAAAGCCTTCATTTTGGTGGTGGACACTGTGGTCTTTGTGGAGGATACTGGCAGTTCTCTTGGACATGTTCATGGCACTCACTATAACCTACAATGTAATTGGAGGGAGGGCTTTGGTGTCTCCTGAGTGGTGGGAGCTATAGCGGCTTGTGGAGGCAGGAGCTTGTCTGTGGAAGTGGACACCCCTGCCAAATACACACACATACACATTTTCACTTTTATTATGTGTATAGATAATAATTTTATTACCTGCCCACTAGCTCTCAGCTATCTTTCCTTTAGCTCTTGGCTATATTTCCTGTATGTTTTGAGCATATTTCCTTTATGTTTTGACCATATTTCCTTTATGTTTTGACCATGTTTCCTTTATATTTTGACCATGTTTCCTCTATTTTGGACATGTTTCCTTTATGTTTCGGACATGTTTCCTTTATGTTTCGGACATGTTTTCTCTATATTTCGGATCTGTTCCTTTTATGTTTTGGCCATCTTTCCTTTTTCTCTCAGCTGTTTTCTTTATACAATACTAGCTGTCCCCTGCCATGGGTTGCTGTGGCCCAGTTTGTTAATCTGGAAAATAAAGTAACGAGAAAGTGTTGGTTTCTAATATATTTAATTTCTTCCTGCTTGTGGGTAAACAGTATTTCTTGCTGTATCTTTGTCAGCATTGATGTGGAGATTGTCTGGTTTGCCTACTCTGGAACGTGCAACATATAATTGTCCTTCTTCAGGGGTCCCTTTCAAATCTATGATACTATATTTGTGTGTGTGTGTGAATCATATCTATCTATATCTATGACTGGATGGCTCTTTGTCAGGAGGACTTTGATTACGTTTTCTTGCCCTGGTGAAGGGAGTTGGACTGGATGGCCTTGAGTATTTTCTGTTGGTCATGGGGGTTCTGTGTGGGAAGTTTGGCCCAATTCTGTCATTGGTGGGGTTCAGAACGCTCTTTGATTGTAGGTGAACTATAAATCCCAGTAACTACAATTCCCTAATGTCAAGGTCTATTTCCCCCAAACTCCATCTGTGTTCATATTTGGGCGTATTAAGTTCTTGTAGCAAGTTTGGTCCAGATCCATCATTGTTTGAGTCCACAATGCTCTCTGGATGTAGGTGAACTACAACTCTTGCCCTGGTGTTCTTGCCCTGGTGAAGGGAGTTGGACTGGATGGCGTTGAGTATTTTCTGTTGGTCATGGGAGTTCTGTGTGCCAAGTTTGGTTCAATTCCATCGTTGATGGAGTTCAGAATGCTCTTTGATTGTAGGTGAACTATAAATCCCAGCAACTACTATTCCCACATGACAAAATCATAATTTTTTGAGTGATGGTCATTCCTTGTGTTGTGAGACGCTTTGTTGCCAAATTTGGTGTGATTTTATTCATTGGTTCTTTTGTTTTTAAGGTACTCATTATGCACAGAGCATTTATATATATAGATTTTGAGCATGTTTTCTCTGTTTTTGGCCATGTTTCCTTTATGTTTTGGCCACGTTTTCTCTGTATCTTGGCCATCTTTGTTTCCTGTCTTGTCCATCTTTCCTATTTCTCTCAGCTATGTTTCCTCTATGTTTTGCCCTTGTTTCCTCAATGTTTTATACACGTTTCCTTTATGTTTTGGTCATATTTTTACTAGATCTCTGTTGATTTTTAATTTTTGTATGTATGTATTTTATCTTTTGTAATTTAGCTGTAAATCGCCTGGAGCATTCTTGGATGGAGGGCGATTAATAAGTTATTAAATGATGATGATGATGATGATGATGATGATTATGATGATGATGATATTTCCTTTATGTTTTGGGCGTGTTTCTTCTATATCTCAACCATGCTCCCTTTAAGTTTTGGGCATGGTTCCTTTATCTCTTGGCTATAGTTCCTTTATGTTTTGACCATTATTTCCTTTAACTCTAAGCTATGTTTCCTGTATATCTCATCTATCTCTCCCCTATATCTCTGGGTCGTGTTTCCTTGGCCCTTCCCCCTCGTCCTTCTTGCCTGCCCTCCCTCTGCACGTGTCACTGCATGTGCGGGGGCGGTGGCGGTGAGTCCTAGCCAGGGACCACGCGTGCAGAGGCGTGTGTGTCACCCGGGGTCATGCGCCACCGCTCCATCTCCCAAAGTCACCTTTCGGCCAAGGCGGCTGAGCTGCTCAGGTGGCCCAGAGATCAGCTGTGACAGCCCTTCTTGCCTCAACCGCACCCCATACATGTGTGTGTATATAAAACATTGTGAGTGTGGATGGAAATATATGTGTGTGTGTGTGTTTGTGTGTATGGAGGGATGGTCCTTTGCTGCCTGTGCCTTTGTTCAGAAGGTCTCCCTTCCTGACTTTTTGCAAAAAAATGGCTTGTTGTGGAAACAAGGATTGGGGATAAAACTTCACTGGAGGCACCTTTTCCCCCTGAGAATAATATATATCTCTTCCAAGAGTGGATTTCCCTCCCTCCCTTCCTTCTCTCCGAGGCATTATGGCCATGTAAAGTATAAATATGTGAGGGGAAGTCATAGAGAGGAGGGAGCAGACTTCCTTTCTGCTGCCCTGGAGACTAGGACGCAATGGAGCCATGGCTTCAAACTACAGGAAAGGAAGGAGATGCCACCTGAACATGAGGAAAAACTTCCTGACTGTGTGTGAGAGAGAGCTGTTCACAGTGGAACTCTTTGCCCTGGAGTGTGGTGGAGGCTCTTCTTTGGAGGCTTTTAAGCAGAGGCTGGATGGCCATCTGTCAGGGGTGCTTTGAATGGATTTTTCTGCTTCTTGGCAAAATGGGGTTGGACTGGATGGTCATTGAGGCCTCTTCGCACTCTAGGATTCTATGATTCTATGAGGGAGAGATTCCTCTCCCTTTCTGTAGTCTCAGCCTCATTGTTCATAACTAAGTGAGATGTTTGTAAGTTGGATGTATGTAACTCAGGGAACGACCTGTCTCTCCTCTCTTTCTCCCTGTCTGTACACAGTCTGATGTCAGGCTTGGCCACCATGGACTCCAAGGTGTGTGGGAAGATGGGAGTGATCACCATCACCTACTACCTGTGGACCACCTTCCTAGCCGTCACAACTGGCATCGTCCTAGTCATCAGCATCCATCCGGGGGCCGCCGCCCAGAAGGAGGACTACGCCGTGGGCAAAGTGGTGCTCAGCTCCGCCGATGCCCTCCTCGACCTCATCAGGTAACCCCCAGGGCTGCCTTGTGGGGATCCAACACCCATCATCCTCAGCCATAGGCCATGCCCACTCCCCTCCCTCCAAGGGGTTCGGATTCAACACTGGCACCTTCGGCATGGAGGACAATGCGCCTTCTAGCTCCCATCATGCTTCATTATCAGGTGCAGTAACTGAGGATGATGGGAGTTGCAGCCCAACAAGGTTTGGGTTTGCATTATCCTCCCTTTTCTGAATTAAGCTGAGATATATGCATTTATACAGTATATTTAAAAAAAAACACTTTTGTAATCGTTCAAAATATTTTGTATTAGTCTATAGAGATTCTTTAACTAGTTAGCAAAAATAAGTTAATACAATCATTTCTATTGGCTGCACCATCCTCGGTGGCGCAGTGGATTAAACCATTGAGCTGCTGAACTTGCTTACTGGAAGGTAGCAGGTTCGAATCCAGGAGTGGGGTGAGCTCCTGCTGTTAGCCCCAGCTCCTGCCAACCGAGCAGTTCGAAAACATGCAAATGTGAGAAGATCAATAGGCACCACTCCGCCGGGAAGGTAATGGCACTCCATACTGTCATGCCCATGGCCACATGACCTTGGAGGCGTCTACGGACAATGCTGGCTCTTCAGCTTAGAAATGGAGATGAGCACCACCCTCCAGAGTCGAACACAACTAGACTTAATGTCAGGGGAAAACCTTTACCATACACACACACACACATACACAGACATATAGTGTATATTATTATTATTATTAATAATAATTATTATTAAACTTTATTTGTACCCTGCTAGCATCTCCCAAGGGATTCAATGCGGCTTACAAACTGTATATATATAGTGGGTGTGTATATATATAAAATATATAGTGTATATACATAGTGTGTGCATGTGTGTGTATATATATTTCTTCCCCTCCTCTCCTCAATTAAAATTCATAAGCACATAAAAAGCACTACAAATATGCACACTAAACTACATCTGTATTGTGAAGTGTAGTGTATATACATAGTATATACACATACACATAGTGTATACGTATAGTGTGCAATATATACAGGGTATACACACACACATATATATAGTGTATAGCATGTATACACACATATGTATATATAGTGTATATACATAATGTATATACATATATATCACATATACAGCATATACATATATACATAAACACATACATACAGTATATACATTTATTTATATAGTGTATAGTATGCGTGTGAGTGTGTGTGTGTGTGTGTATATATATATATATATGCACTCACACACACACCCTCCTCGACTTCATCAGATAACATCCTCTCTCAAGGGCCACCTTCTTGGACTGCAACTCCCATCATCCTCAGCCACAGGGGTTTGGATTCAACATCTGCGCCTAGGGCTTGGTGGACAATGTGCCTTCCAACTCTCATCATGCTTCATTGTAGGCTGCAGTGGCTGAAGATGATGGATGGAGTCTAAAATGGAGTCTGAGGTCTGAGCAGTCTCAGTGCTTAATCATGTGGTCTGCAGTCACTCCCATAACTTCTCAGGAAACATAGAGCAAATGAAAGAAAGCTGCATACTAGAACATACATACAATAAGTAAGCAACAGGATTATATACAAACAAATTACTAGAGGAAGCTTGAAGAAGGTTGTAATTTCCAACAGTGTAATGTATATGCACGCACACACTACATACATGTAGTGTTTTCTCAAGCTGATTTGCCTGGATTGTTTCTACAGTAATAATAATATTTATGTATTGTCGAAGGCTTTCATGACCAGAATTACTGGGTTCTTGTAGGTTTTTTCAGGCTATATGGCCATGTTCTAGAGGCATTCTCTCCTGACGTTTCGCCTGCATCTATGGCAAGCATCCTCAGAGGTAGTGAGGTCTGTTGGAACTAGGAAAGTTCCAACAGACCTCACTACCTCTGAAGTGCTTGCCATAGATGCAGGCGAAACGTCAGGAGAGAATGCCTCTAGAACATGGCCATATCGCCCGAAAAAACCTACAACAACCCAATAATATTTATTATTCAGATTGCTGAAAGGCATATTGGAAGATGGCAATGATGAGGATGATTTCTTTTTCTCTTTCTTGCAGGAACATGTTCCCTTCAAACCTCATTGAGGCCTCCTTCCAACAGGTGAGTCACCAAGCCACTGGGTCCTCCCATTTTGTCGTTCTCTTGTGAGCATGGAGAGAGGCAAGATGTCTGCTCTGAGCTAGATTGCTTTCCTACCTAGATCTGTAGTTCTTTGAAGAAAACCTTTTTACAAGCTTGGCTCTGCTCTTGGAAATGGCTGTAGCTTATTGGCTGTATTGCTGTCCTCAAGAAGCTTCTGATCTGCTAAAACTGCCTTTTTTGTTCCCATTCTGTGAGCATGGAGAGAGGCAAGATGTCTCCATAGAGAGTTAGTTCGACAGCTAAGCCTTGACTTCCCTATACAGAAATGTAGTTCTTCCAATAAAATCTTTCTCTAACTTTGTAGTACCGGACAGTGCTGGTGCCGGTGGTGAAGACCTCGAAGGACCCGAAGGCGGCCAGGAAGTCAGTCAGCTTCATCTATTTCCTGCCGGATGCAGCCAACCCAGGGGTGCAGCGCCCGGTGCTGCTGGAGATCACACCTGCCCCCGAAATGACCTACCGCACCCTCCCTGGCAGCAACAGCGAGATGAATGTCCTGGGCATCGTCATCTTCTCCGCCACCATTGGTAGGGGGTGCTTTGCCCTACGCATCTCCCCTTAGAAAAATAGTATCAGGCTGAGAAATAGGCAGTGGTTATGCTTTAACTGTGCTTTCATATGCACATATTATAGGGGTGTTTATGTAGAGGTAGGTAATAAATGAAAATAATAATAATAATAATTATTATTATTGTTATGGAGCCCCGGTGGTGCAGTGGGTTAAACCCCTGTGCTGGCAGGACTGAAGACTGACAGGTCGCAGGTTCGAATCCGGGGAGAGGCGGATGAGCTCCCTCTATCAGCTCCAGCTCCTCATGCGGGGACATGAGAGAAGCCTCCCACAAGGATGATAAAAACATCAAATCATCCAGGCGTCCCCTGGGCAACGTCCTTGCAGATGGCCAATTCTCTCACACCAGAAGCGACTTGCAGTTTCTCAAGTCGCTCCTGACACAAAAAATATTATTATTATTATTATTATTATTATTATTTTACTGACACAAAACCACAGTGTTGTTGTTGTTCATTCGTTCAGTCGTCTCCGACTCTTCGTGACCTCATAGACCAGCCCACGCCAGAGCTCCCTGTCGGCCGTCACCACCCCCACAGTATGACACAGCAAATGCGATATATATGCTGGATTTCATATTTATTTATTTATTTATTTATTTATTTATTTATTTATTTATCATGTCAGGAGCAACCAGACATTTGTATTACATTTTTAAAAAAACAAACAGACAAAACACAAAGTTTGCAAGCTTGGTAGTTGATTAAATGTCCTTTGACCAGTATCTGGCCACTTGGAGTGCCTCTGGTGTTGCCGCAAGGAGGTCCTCCATTGTGCATGTGGCTGGGCTCAGGTTGCATTGCAGCAGGTGGTCAGTGGTTTGCTCTTCTCCACACTTTGTGTGTTTTAAGTGCTTTGTAGTTTTCAAAGTTAGTGATTATGTGCTTAGAAATGTATTGCTGTGATTTGCAATGTTCCGAGTTGTAATTCCTGTGTGGAAAGGGTTAACTGTGACTCCCAGGTATTTGGGTGCACTGCAATGCTCCAGTGGGATTCCTTCCCAGGTGATCCTCAGAGCTTGGGAAGCTTGTCTGTTCTTAAGGTGAAAAGCACATGTCTGTGTTTTAGATGGGTTAGGGATCAGCTGGTTTTCCCTGTAATAGGCGGTAAGGGCACCTAGAGCTTCGGAGAGCTTCTGTTCAACCATCTCAAAGCTCCCTGCTTGAGCGGTGATGGCACAATCGTCAGCATAGATGAAATTCTCTGTCCCTTCTGGCAGTGGCTGGTCATTTGTGTAGATGCTGAACATGGATGGAGCAAGCACGCTCCCCTGAGGCAGGCCATTCTTCTGTAAAAAATCACAAGTCGAACACTTCCCAAGCATTTAGGACTGTGTGATTACCACTGGGACCACTTGTACTGGTTTATGCCAGAGCCTTTGCAGTTCAATTTTGAGGTCTTGATAACGGCTGAGGTTTTTTTGTTTGTTTGTTTTTCGTCAGTTCGACTGTCACCTGGTATGGCGACATCAATAATCCAAACTTTTTTTTCCACAGCCGTGATGTCTGGTGTATTGTGTTCCAAAACTTTGTCAGTCTGGATTCAAAAGTCCCACAGTATTTTTGCTTATTTATTTTCCACTACCTTTGCAGGTTTATGATCCCTTTACCAGTTCTTTACTGCTGGCAGGTGGTACTTGTGACATACGTTCCAATGAATCATTTGGGCCACAGAGTTGTGCCTCTGTAGTCTGTCTGTGCGATTTTCTTGCAGCAGCTGAGGATATGATCAATAGTTTCATCAGCTTCCTTTCACAGTCTGCATTTTGGGGCATCAGTTGATTTTTCAATCCTGGCCTTGAAGGCATTTGTTCTGATGGCTTGCTCAGCCCTTCTGTCTCCTTCTTCAGTGTTCCACTCATGAGCCATCGCCAGGTGTTCTCCTTGTCATCTTTTCCTTCAATTTTGTCAAGGAACTGCCCATGCAATGCTTTGTTGTGCCAGCTGTCAGCTCTGCTTTGTAGTGCAGTTTTCTTGTACTGATTCATTGTCTCCTGTGCTTGAGAAGTTTCCGATGATTGACTTCAATCAAAGCAGATTCTTTGCATTCCTTTGCAGTATTATTATTATTGTGTTTCCACTGTAGCCTGACCCTATGTATTCCCCCTCCCCCAAATAAGACCAGGCCGAGAAAAAGGCAGTGGTTGCCTTGTAACTGTGCTTTCATATGTGCATTATTGTTATTACTATTATTACTATTACTATCATCGTTTTCCCCCTTTAGCCTGTCCCTATGCATCCTTTTCCCCCTAATAAGACCAGGTCCAGGCTCACATGTGCACATCTTATAGGAGTGTTTATGTAGAGGCGTGTAATACATGAAAATTATTATTATTATTATTATTATTATTATTATTATTATTGTGTTTTAACTTTAGTAGCTTGCTTTTTTTTTTTTTTTTTTTTTTTGTCGTGTCAGGAGTGACTCCTGGTGTGAGAGAATTGGCCGTCTGCAAGGACGTTGCCCAGGGGATGCCTGGATGATTTGATGTTTTTATCATCCTTGTGGGAGGCTTCTCTCATGTCCCTGCATGAGGAGCTGGAGCTGATAGAGGGAGCTCATCCGCCTCTCCCCGGATTCGAACCTGCGACCTGTCGGTCTTCAGTCCTGCCAGCACAGGGGTTTAACCCACTGCGCCACCGAGGGCTCCATACTTTAGTAGCTAATACATTAATAATATTTTATTATTATTGTTATTATATACTAGTATATTGTTATTATATAACATCATTATATTGTTATTACAGATTACTATATTATTATATATTGCTATATTATTATTTATTATATAGTACTATCTTATTCTATATTACTATATTATTGTTATATTATTATTTTATATTACTATGTTATTATATTGCTATATTATTATTCTATATTACTATAAGTAGGGTGGCCTTTTGCAGCTGACAATGGTAATTTTGTCTGCGCCGATTGTGTTTAAGTCCAGGCCACGGTCTTTAGGCACTGGACACAGTGTGGCGATCACCTCTGGAACCCCCTTGACTGGCGTGTTCCAGAGTCTTTGCAGTTTGATCTTTAAATCCTCGTATCGTGTCAGCTTTTCCAGTTGTTTCTCCTCAATCCTGCTGTCACCTGGGATTGCAACATCAATGATCCATACTTGGCTTTTTAACTTGATCATGAAGTTTCAATTTTTCCCAGGAACTATCCATGGAGAGCCTTCTTTGGCCAGTTTTCTCTTCTGCTCTGCATTGTATTTTTATGGTATTCCCTCTTTGTCTTTTGCACTTTGAAGCAGTTTTCGACTATTGACTTCCATCAATGTTGGTTCTTGACTGTCTTTCACATAATCTGCCAGTGTTTCTCTTCTTTGACCGCTTGTTTTACTTTCAGAAGCCCTTTGCCTCCTAATTCTCTGGGCAGGTAAAGTTTGTTGACATCACTACGCGGGTGTAATGAGTAGTGGATTGTCATCAGTTATTGTTATTATTATTATTATTATTATTGTTATTATTATTATACATTCCTTTCTCATCCTGCTGTCTCAGCCCCATTCTTAACTGTGGGTCATTCATAAGTCGAATGCCTATAACTCTACTATATTATTATTATATTACATGCTGGTCGCTTCTCCAAGTGGCCAGATACTGGTCAAAGGACATTTAACCAGCTACCAAACCCACAAGTTGTGTATTTTTCTGTTTGTTTGCTTTGTTCTGTTAGAAATGTAATATAATGGACTGGCTGCCCTGACACGACAAATAAATAAATTATATTACATTATTATTATTATTATTATTATTATTATTATTATTATTATTATTATTATGCTGGGTGCCTGTAACATGGCCTGTCTCTCTGCGGCAGGTTTCCTGCTGGGCAAGATGGGGGAGCGCGGGGCGCCGCTGGTGAACGTGTGCCAATGCCTGAACGAAGCTGTGATGAAGATCGTCTCCATGGCCGTGTGGTACTTCCCCTTCGGTATTGTCTTCCTGATCGCAGGGAAGATCCTGGAGATGGAGGACCCCTACATAGTGGGGAAGAAGCTGGGCCTCTACGCCATAACCGTGGTCACTGGGCTGGCCATCCACAGCCTCTGCTTTTTGCCCCTCCTCTTCGCCCTCATCACCCGGAAGAACCCCTTCGCCTTCATCCGCGGCATCCTCCAGGCCCTGCTTATCGCCCTGGCCACCTCCTCCAGGTTGGACATGCCCACTTTTATGCAAATCCCCATCTTCTCTCCTCAGGGATATGCCCCTTCCATGCAAATCTCTCTTGCCTTATTATTTTATATTATTACTGTATTACTTTTAATATTATTATATTATATATTTTATTCTATTATTTTAATACTCTTCATATTTTAAATTATTTGTATATTTTATTATATTGTTTTTATAATACTATTTTATTCTTTTTAATTGCCAGTTTGCTACTGAGCGCAATTTAAAGTGCTGGCTTTGGTCTATAAAGCCCTAAACGGTTCCGGCCCAATTTACCTGTCTGAACGTATCCCTCCCTATGAACCACCTAGGAAATTAAGATCCTCTGGGGAAGCCCTGCTCTCCGTCCCACCACTCTCACAGGCCCAATTGGTGGGGATGAGAGAGAGGGCCTTCTCAGTTATTGCCCCTTGGTTATGGAACTCCCTTTCTGCTGAAATTATATCAGCCCCCTCCCTCCTGTCCTTCAGAAGGTTGGTAAAAACTTGGCTGTGGAACCAAGCTTTTGGGACAGCGCAATAAGGCAGCAATAAGAAACCTCACCATGCTACCAGATTCTATGCGGACTTTAATGTTGAGAGAAATGATTTTAATGTTTATGTATGTGTATTTATGTCCTGGCATTGAATTTTTGCCATTATATGTTGTGCTCTGCATTGAGTCCCCTTCGGGGTGAGAAGGGTGGAATATTCATGCTTTAAATAATAACTAAATAAATAGCTCGGAAGCAGAGGGGCAGCCAGTGGAGCTGCCATAACATGGGAGTTGATCTCTCCCAGTATGGAGTTCCAGTTAGTAACCTGGCTGCCGATCTTTGGATCAGTTGCAGCTTTACGTCCTGGTATGGTTTGGGGAGGATGGACTTTGCTCACTTTCTGAGACCATTGCGACTCTCAACAATGAGGGATCAGGACCAAACTTGAGACACATAGCCCCCATGACCCACTCTACATTGTAGTGCATTTTGGAGGAGAATGGATGATGGGACTTGCAGTACATTATTCAGTTTCTGAGACCACTGCGACCCAAACCAATGATGGATCAGGACCAAATTTGGCACACAGAGCCCCCATGACCCACTCTATATCCTGTTGCGGTTTGGAGGAGGATGGACCATGGACAATGGGACTTACAATACCTTCACTCACTGCCTGAGACCACTGCAACCCATGGTGAGAAGGGCGTAATATAAATGTTTCAAATAATAAATAAATAAATAAATAAATAGTAATTTAATATTATTATTATATTTTATTCATTTTATGCTTTTACTATTATATTATTTTTATAATATTGTATTATTTTAATATTATAATTTTTATATTATAATAATAATAACACTCTTATTATATTATTTTATAATAATTATAATAATACTAGCTTGGATACCCAACGGTGCCCAGGTTATTTGAAGACAGTATTGTTTGTTTTGGGGTATTAGGTAATATCATTTAGTTAATTAGTAATACTATTAGGAAAAAGCCTAATAGTCTTTGATTTGGTTTTTTTATTAGTGCTCCCATTAGGAAATGCATAAGGATGTGGGTGAACTACAATTCCCAGAATCGTGGGTCAATCCTCCATGTTGCATCTGTGTGCCAAGTTTGGTCCAGATCCAACGTTGGCTGGGTTGAGTGCCCTCTGGATGCAGGTGAACTACAACTCCCAAGATCAAGGTCAATTTCCACAAACCCTAGCAGTATGCTCAATTTGTTATGGGGCTTCTCTGTACCAAGTTTGGTCCTGGTCCATTGTTGGTGGGGGTCACAATTTCTCTGCATGCAGGTGAACTACAATTCCCAGATTCCCAGGGCAGTCACCCCCAAACTCTGCCTGTATTCAGAGTTGGGCATGTTGGGTCTGTTCCAAGTTTGGTCCAGATCTGTTATTGAAGGGGTTCAGAGTGCTCTGGATGCAAGGTGAACTATAACTCCCACATGGGTGGGTCATTCCCTTCCCAACCCTTCCAGTATGTTCTGTTGGTCACCAGAGTTCTGGGTGCCATATTTGGTCCAGATTCGTCATTGGTGGGGTTCAGAGTGCTCTGGGTCCAGGGTGAACTACAACTCCCACATCAGTCCCCCCACAAACACCTCCAATATGTTCTGTTGGTCACCAGGGTTCTGTGTCCCAAGCTTGGTCCAGTCCTGTCATTTGTGAGGGTTGCAGTGATCTGTAGAAGTGGATGAAGGTACTGCAAATCCAATTGTCTGTGATCCATCCTCCCCCAAAGCAGACCAGGACAAAGTGCGCCATAGGAAGTCAGTATGCCAAATTTGGTCCAGGTGCATCGTTCGTTCAGGTCACAGTGGTTTCTTGAAGTGAGTGAAGATACTGCAATTTCCATCATCCATGGTCCATCCTCTCCAAAAACTCACCAGGATGTAAAGTACATCATTGAGTGTCTGTGTGGCAATTTTGGTCCAGGCCTGTCATTTGTGGGGGTCACAGTAGTCTCTGGATGTGGATGAAGGTTCTGTAAATCCCATCATCCGTGATCTATCTTTCCCCCAAAGTGCATCAGATCGTATAGTGGGTCACGGGGGGTGGGCTGTGTGCCAAGTTTGGTCCAGGTCCATCATTTGTAGGGGTTGCATTGGAAGTACTGCAAATCGCATCATCCGTGATCCATCCTCCCCCAAAGTGCTCCAGGACATATAGTGCGTTATTTGGGGGGGGGGGGGGTCTGTGTTCTAAGTTTGGTCCAGGTCTGTCATTCATGAGAGTCACAATAGTCTCTTGGTGTTGACGAAGGTACTGCAAATTCCATCATCCAATGTCCATCTTCTTCCAAAGCGCACCAGGACATATCGTGGGTCATGCAGGGGGGCCTGTGTGCCAAGTGTGGTCCAGGTCTGTAATTCGTGGGGGTTGCAGTGGTCTCTGAAAGTGAGTGATGGTACTGCAAGTCCCATCATCCATGGCAAGTGTGATCCAGATCCATCGTTGGTTAGGTTCATAGTGCTCTCTGGATGTTGGTGAAATACAACTTCTATAAATCAAGGTCAATTTCCCCCAGACCTCTTGTTCAGTTGCTGATCAATTCATGTTTGCTATATGTCGTAGGAAAGGGTTAAGGGAAAGGCACTGGGCACAGTCATGCAAATTCCACAGCAATGGAAAGAGTAAGGAACCCTAGGCTGTATATTCTGGAGGAAAAACAGAACATTGAAATTGTCCCTGAATTAAAGCCTTCCCTTGGGTGGTGGGCAGTATGGTGTTTGGCAGGGGTTGGGAGACATGTTCATGGCACCCGCTATTTTATTTATTTATTTATTATTTGAACTTATATGCCGCCACTCCCCTGGGGCTCGGAGCGGCTTACAAGAGCGGCTAAAATCTAACACAATTTAAAAACAATTCAAAACAATTTAATATAACCTGGAGGCCGGAGCCTGTGTGAGTGGACACCTCCGCCACATACACATTTTCTAGTTAGATAGATGTAAATAAATATAAATCAATTTAATATGTGAAGGTGACAGAATGGCCCTTTTTATATGGGGCGCTAGATAAAGGAAAGAATGAACAATAGAGAGAAAAATAAATGAAGGAAAGAATAGATTATTATATTATTTTTAATTAATTTTTTATTATATTATTTTCAATATTGTTATTGTATTTTATCATGATATATTATTATTGTATATTATTCTTTAATATTTTTATTATATTATTTTTAAATATTACTATATATTATTATTATTATTACCGGTTATGCCCACAAGTCCTAAACAGCTGGTATATTATTATATTATTTTTAATATTATGATTCTATTTTATTATTGTTTTCTATTAGTATGATGATTATAGAATCATAGAATCATAGAATCAAAGAGTTGGAAGAGACCTCATGGGCTATCCAGTCCAACCCCCTGCCAAGAAGCAGGAATATTGCATTCAAAGCACCCCTGACAGATGGCCATCCAGCCCCTGTTTAAAAGCTTCCAAAGAAGGAGCCTCCACCACACTCCGGGGCAGAGAGTTCCACTGCTGAACGGCTCTCAAAATATTTTATTAATTTTAATTCAAACCCTCCCTCTTTCCTCCTCCTATCCCCTACACTTCTCTGAGACACGCCCCCTTTTATTCAAATCCCTCTCCTCTCTCCTGACACTTCTCAGTGACACACCCCCTTTTATGCAAATGCACCTCTTCTCCCCTCCTATCCCCTGGCACTCTTCAGGGACACACCCCCTTTAATGCAAATCCCTCTCCTATCCCTGACACTTGTCAAGGACACGCCCCTTTTTATTCAAATCCCTCTTTGTTTTCTCCTATCTCCTGATACTTCTCAGGGACACACACCCTTTTATTCAAATCCCTCTCTAGCCTCTTTTAAGCCTTTTAAATGGCCGTAAATGGCTGGGCCTCAATGGCTCTACTGCTGGCAATGGAAGCTTCTGTACTGCTAAACCTGCCTCTGTGTTCTGCTCCTGTGAGCATGGAGAAACGCAAGATGTCGCCTGTAAGTCTGTGAGATAGCTAAAATCAAAATTAATTCAATTTAATCTTCTGCCCCTCGCAGCTCGGCCACCCTTCCCATCACCCTCAAGTGTCTTCTAGAGAACAACGGGATTGACCGGCGCATAGCCCGCTTTGTCCTCCCTGTCGGTGCCACCATCAACATGGACGGGACCGCCCTTTATGAGGCTGTGGCCGCCATTTTCATTGCACAAGTCAACGAATATGACCTGGACTTGGGGCAGATCATCACCATCAGGTACAGAGTTGTTGCAAATGTTGGAACCCCAACCACATCCTGCGCCAGTTTATCGTCCTCATCAAGAGCATAGATAGTCAGAGGAAAGAGTTGGAAGGGCAAAGCCTTATTTTTTCATATTATTTTTATAATATTATTAATAAAGGACACACCCCTTTTATGCAAATCCTTCTCTGTTCCCTCCTATCCCTACACTTCTTAAGGACACACCCCTTTTAATGCAAATTCCCTTCTATTCCCTCCTATCCCTACACTTGGAGTCACGCCCCTTTTATGCAAATCCTTCTCTGTTCCCTCCTATCCCTACACTTCTTAAGGACACACCCCTTTTAATGCAAATTCCCTTCTATTCCCTCCTATCCCTACACTTGGAGTCACGCCCCTTTTATGCAAATCCTTCTCTGTTCCCTCCTATCCCTACACTGCTTAAGGACACACCCCTTTTATGCAAATCCTTCTCTGTTCCCTCCTATCCCTACACTTCTTAAGGACACACCCCTTTTAATGCAAATTCCCTTCTATTCCCTCCTATCCCTACACTTGGAGTCACGCCCCTTTTATGCAAATCCTTCTCTGTTCCCTCCTATCCCTACACTTCTTAAGGACACACCCCTTTTAATGCAAATTCCCTTCTATTCCCTCCTATCCCTACACTTGGAGTCACGCCCCTTTTATGCAAATCCTTCTCTGTTCCCTCCTATCCCTACACTTCTTAAGGACACACCCCTTTTAATGCAAATTCCCTTCTATTCCCTCCTATCCCTACACTTGGAGTCACGCCCCTTTTATGCAAATCCTTCTCTGTTCCCTCCTATCCCTACACTTCTTAAGGACACACCCCTTTTAATGCAAATTCCCTTCTATTCCCTCCTATCCCTACACTTGGAGTCACGCCCCTTTTATGCAAATCCTTCTCTGTTCCCTCCTATCCCTACACTTCTTAAGGACACACCCCTTTTAATGCAAATTCCCTTCTATTCCCTCCTATCCCTACACTTGGAGTCACGCCCCTTTTATGCAAATCCTTCTCTGTTCCCTCCTATCCCTACACTTCTTAAGGACACACCCCTTTTAATGCAAATTCCCTTCTATTCCCTCCTATCCCTACACTTGGAGTCACGCCCCTTTTATGCAAATCCTTCTCTGTTCCCTCCTATCCCTACACTTCTTAAGGACACACCCCTTTTAATGCAAATTCCCTTCTATTCCCTCCTATCCCTACACTTCTAGGGGACACGGCCCTTTTTATGCAAATACTCCTCAGTTCCCTCCTATCCCTACACTTCTTAAAAACACACACACTTTTTATGCAAATCCCTCTCCCTTCTTTCCTCCTATCCTGACACTTTTTAAGGGCACACCCCTTTTTATTCACATTCTTCTCATCTCTCCCCCTATCTCCTGACACTTCTCAGAGACACACCCCTTTTTCTGAGCACATGTCAAGTCCTCCTCCTGTGAGCATGGAGAGAGGCAAGATGTCTGCTTCAAAGAGCTAGATTGTTGAATAGCTAGGCCCTGACTTTCCTCTAGGGTTGTAGTTATTTGAATACAGCCTTGTCTACCTTTTCAAAGCTTGACCTTTTGCTCCCACAGCATCACAGCCACGGCTGCCAGCATTGGGGCGGCCGGCATCCCCCAGTCGGGCCTGGTCACCATGGTCATCGTCTTGACCTCGGTCGGACTGCCCACCGAAGACATTACCCTCATCATTGCCGTTGACTGGGCCTTGTGAGTCACTCTCCTTCCTTCCTTGCTTGCTTCCTTTTTTTCATTCTCCTCCTTCCGCTTTGAGAGAAAAAATGGAGTATAAATAAACATAATAATAATAATACTCTATTGTTGAAGGCTTTCATGGCCAGAATAACTGGGTTGCCGTGTGTTTTCCAGGCTGTATGGCCATGTTCCAGAAGCATTTGCTCCTGACGTTTTGTCCACATCGATGGCAGGCATCCTCAGAGGTTGTGAGGACTGTTGGAAACTAG